CGCCACATGCAATGTTTTATGGAGAGTCCCGCTTCTTGCACGTCACAGCCGGATCCCTCTCCAGCGTCCGCTCGAGGCGCGGCTACTGGAAGCTCGCCAGGGCTATGCTGCAAATTGCTGCGCAGCCTTGCGAGCTTGGCTCCTGGGTTGTAGTCCCTTGCTCAGTCTAGTCCCATTTTTCGTTTGCCACCATGGCAGGCGCTCCGAATCGTCGCTGGGCAGACATCGCAGACGACGAAGATCTCGAGGCGATTCATCGAAGGCTGCTGGGCACGCCGGTCCTTCTGCACTGCACAGGGAAGAGAACGGCGCCGGAGGCGCCCTGGCAAGCAACACACCTCTCTCACCGACAGGGCAAAGGTCGGCTGCGCAGCTCAAGACTGCTGCGTGGGCTCTGGCTTGGATGGAGCCGGGCGCCTGGCCGAGTCGCTGCAGGATTTTGCTGGCTTGGGCTGCTCGCCTGCTGCCCGACAACTGGGGCCTGCTGTGGATTGCCGTGGCGCTGGGACCTTCCTGGACTGCAACTGCTTGGCTCCGCAGCTCTCGCCTGGCGCTTGTTCCGACGCCGCTCCTCATTTTAGCCGCGACGTAGCCTCTGTAGCCCTGTCCTACGAAGCGTGACCGCAGGAGCACCTGTTTTGGTGGCAGGCTGGATGCGCCTATCCTCCATTGTAATCTGTACCAGTGCAGTTGTCCACCGCTTCTCCAAGCTGACAAACGAAAACGCAGCGCTACGCGCTTTGACTTGCTGCCCGAGCTTTGTGACTCTTTATTATCGTGTTCTAGTCAAATGCTCCGGCCGGTCAAGACCCTCACGCATCACAGGTGACGTGCATGTTTGCAGCTTGCTGGCTCGGACACCAACATATCCGAGCACGTACTAGTGCGCAAACATAGTCGACAACGCCTGCAACATTTAAACATATTGTTGTTTCGTCTTTGAATTTCAAACTGACCAATTCCTGAACTCTCTGTGATTGGCCTAGGACCCTCCCAACCGAGGAAAGCCAAGGCTGCCCCTGGCACAACCTCAGCCACAAATAGCCTTAGCGAAGGGAAGAAGCATCGGCGAATGAGAAGAACACTTCAAGAAAGGCAGGGCTTGGGGCCTCCAGACAGCTTTGATATGGGGTCCGAGCACAAGCAGGATTTTGGGGCCTCAACAAGCCCCCAAGAGGCTTCAAAAAGACCCCCTAAAAAGGGGCATACCAGGATTTGCCCGGACCCACAATGAAAAAATGCTATTTTTGAGTATTGAAATCGATGGTCTTGGGCACCCTCCCGGGCCTGGCCAAGGGCCTCCGGGCCAAGGCTCCCTGGGCCAAGGCCCAGGCTCCCCTCGCCGTTACCTCACTTGCAAACCAAACTGCTCTGGAAGCTGGTGGACCTCTTTTCTCTAGCCGGACGCTCAGGGCTTAAGAGGCTTGGGGCCCCAGGATTTGCCCGTGCCCGCAAGGACAAATGCGATTTTTTGTACTAAGAGTTTTGGGCACCCCTTCATTTTACCCCAGAAGGGCCAGGAAAGCCCCCAGGAAGCCCCCAAGAAGCCCCAAGAGCCACCAAAAAGGCTTGAGGCCCTTAAAGAAGGGGAATCCAGGAGCCGGCACAAAGGGTTTCCCTGACCTTGAAATAAGAAGGGCCTCTACGGGCCCTGACACGCCGAAGGCCCGAAAAGGGCCGAGGCTACCCCCAACCCAAACTTAAACCCTAACACCGCAACTTTAAAAACATAAAAGCAAGCATCGGGGCACAAGAAAATAAATTCCATAAACCCTAAACCCTAATAGAGTATAGTGTGGGTGGCCGGGGTGGGTTGACGCGCGCGGCCCGGGGTGTTTCACACCCGAGCGCGCGCCCTCCCCTGACACACCCTAAACCCTAAACCCTTCTTCAGCAACTCCGATTTAGTGCAAGCAAGGATTCAGCTTCCTGGACCTGCTTGACTTTATCCTCGAGCTCGATTGCAGCAGAAGCCAGCTGATACTCCTGTTCAGGCTTACGAGTCTCATGCTCACAGGCAAGCAAGGCGCCCCGAGCAATTCCGATGCTCGCGCTTAAACTCTACTGCTGCCGCAAGAGGCACAGGTCACAGGACCACATCCAGCCAAGCATCACGAAGACAAGGGTTCAGGTCAATCTAGTCTTCGATTGAATCACACTCCGGGTGTGACGAGGATTGGCTAGAATTACTGCGGAAGCCAGCCCCGCAACTAAGCACCCCCCTGAGGTACGGCCATAGCTCTAGTTCCGGGCTCTGTTCGGTCCTTCTCGCAAGTAGATTCCCGCTAGGCATCACCTCTCAAAATTTGCAGCCCGCGTCCTTGACATCTAAGTTCGAAATCGCCAGCGCCAAGAAGGAAACGACAATGCCTTCGCTGCAAACAGTGAAGACCAGCCTTAGGTCAGATGAAATGAGCAGCCTGCGCCAAAAAAAAAAGTGCGCTTCTGCAGGGGGTAGGAAAACCCCTCCCTTACGCGCTTGCGCGGGGGAAGCGTGTGGGAGACTCTTTTTTCGCATCGTCTGTTTTAGCCAGGCCACTGATCTCCGGAAGTCGCCGTTGTATTCTGATACCAGTGTGACAGTATGTAGAAGGGGGCCAGGGCGAAGTTCAACTCAGAACAAGTTTGCAGTCAGCTTCAGCTGCTTTCTTTGCGCTGTGCTTCTAGGGAGAATTGGTCCTTACTTCATGACATGCCGGCACTACGAAGACTTTTGCGCGCCAGGGCAGCCCGCCTTGTTGGAGAGTGGGGCGTCTGTGGAGAAGCTACTGATCATGACGCGCGCCATGGTCAGCGCTGGCAGGAATTCCCGCGGCAGCCCGAAGCTTGAAAAGAACCTCCGGGCTAGGGCGGCTAGGGCTGTAAGGGCTTCACCAGATTTGTGATGATTTCGGGGGGGGGGGGGGGGGGGGGAGGGGGTGTGATTGAAGGCGGGGGTGGGGGCTTGGGGTGCCTGTACGGCCGCTAAGATCGCGGCTCGTGCGCGGGGGTGAACTGAGCTGATTGGGGCATAGGGTAAGTACATGCGGGTACCGTCCATAAACTAACTTCAGTACCTACGAGAAGTGGGCACTGCGCAACTATCTTCGGGAAGTGTCTTTGCACGCCCACATGTTTTCGGACATGTGTTCGGCAAGTGTCTTCTGACACCCAGTGTCTTGATTCGCGTGCGTGCTGAGACCCGCTTGTGAGGAAATCGTTCGCATGTGGACTGTTGAGGACCTTATAGGGGTTACTCCAACCAAACGCCACAGCTGGAGATGATGGAGGTGTGCTTTTCTGACCATCCTTCTCGCCGCAATCTCTGAACTCCCCTAACACCAGACAAGGAAATGTCACAGCATCTCCACGTCTGACACCATGGCAAAAGAACAGACCAGTCCGAGCAGCCATGTGCTCATGCTCTTGCAAACTGAGTTGCGCTGCAACAAGTTTTCGTGCAAGATGGTGCCAGTCTGTGGCTTCGATCAGATCGGATCATGCAAACCTGCATCGCCTATCCCCAGACCTGGCCGGGTGACACAAGCAGGGTCATGATGATGTTGTCGCGACTAAGGCCTTGGCTGCGTCCGACAAGAAATCGGCAACAGGCCCTCAATATCCTCAATAGGCCACTGCACATGGCTGGAAGTTTGAAATTGCGAGCAGGCATCGCTCTGGTGTAATCTGAAGATCTGGACTGCTCAGCCTGGTACAGGGTGGGAACATGTGCACATATGCTCGGCTGCGGTAGTAGAGAGACGGAAGCAGAGACTTCGGGATCTCTGGCTGGAGTGGGGTGTGCATTCGTGACTTCGAGCATGACCCGCGCCTCTGCAGTATGACGTTGCCAGCGGCCACACCACAGAACATGGGCAAAGTGTTCATGCCCCCCGAGGTGGACCAAAAATGCGAAACCTGCGCCGGCCAACAGCATGAACCTCACATGTAGTTTCTGACAAGCATGGTTTAAGTACTTTGCCTTACCGTGCCAGGGAGCAAAGAGAACGGCAAGGAACAAGTCCAGGACCAACGACCAGAGACTCGCAATCCTTGGCATACTCCTGGCTAAGTTTTTCCACGGCCAAAGTCTGATGCGAGTGCTTCCAAGACTCGCTTTCAACGTTTGCTGGCGCTTGTCATGGACACGAGCTAGCACATCTTCATCCGTAAGTATATGTTCTTCGACCATCGGCGTCCTTAGGCCCAAGGCTCCCAATGTCCGAGGTAGGGTTTCGGGATGTTTCGGGTTTTTGCCACGCGCGTAGCTGAACTAGGCGGCGAGGCACTATGGTTGAATCCAAAGCATTGTTCTGAGTGCGAGTGCATCAAGTGCTTAGGATTCTTTCCTACTGAACGCAGCAAACGGCCGCTGTCAGCCAAATTGTGCGGGTAGCGCTGTCATGTCATGCACCAAGACTCGCCACCAAAAACCGGAAGGACGCCATGATGGCGGGCAGCCCCTGCCATCTGTGGGCTCGAGCCTCACACGCTCGCCATGCACCCGACTGTGTGCTCCATAGCGCTAGAATGAGATCTTCTGCAACTGCGTTTGGTGCATCAGAGAAGCCACCCAGAAGTGGCCCACTGCGCAGGCATAGGCAGCCGTGACATATCCTCCATACATTCGCCGAAGCTAAGCAGGGCAAAGTCGCCCCGCCCGGAACCAGTGTGCCATAACTGCTGCTTGTGCCCCCGCGGCGACAGCAAAGGCAACAACGGCTTCAATGGCCAGAATTCGCAGCGCATGTGCGTCAGTCGGAGAAAACAGTGAGTGAGTGAGTAAGTGAGTGAATCAGTGAGAGAGAGGGAGAGAGGGAGAGAGGGAGAGAGGGAGAGAGGGAGAGAGGTAGAGAGGGAGAGAGGGAGAGAGGGAGAGAGGGAGAGAGGGAGAACGAGGGAGAGAGAGAGAGAGAGAGTGCATGGGCGAACGAGCGGGAATGGTGCGAGAGAGAGAGAGACAGAGAGATACAGAGAGAAAGAGCCGTGGAAACGTTGCGCGCTTCAGCTGAGGCACCCACTCCAAAGTTACCGTGGGCCGTGCCATCCAAGGCTGGACCTGGAATCACACGGCTCGCGCTGCAATGCCCATGCTGATTCTTGGCAGAGCGAACAACTTGCTGTCCGCATGGACCCCTTTTTGGCATCTCGCATGGCCCCCCTAACATGGCAAATCTTGACATGGCACGTGATTCTGGCTTCGGGCGACTCCCTTTCGGACATGAAGCTGCCCCATCAGTCCTGCCTAGCACAGCTGATGAAGCAGTGAGCGCAGCACCATGGAGGCCGAAGCCCTGAAAGCCCTGCACAGACGAGAATGTCTATGTCGACTGCCATACCATTCGTTGGCAAAGGTCGCGGCTGCTACTAGACAAGCACGCCAAGGTCAGTATGACCTAAACTGAAATCGAAGCGTCCTCTTGCTTTTCGCAACTCACCCTGCAAATCCTTGCAAAACTCCTGCGCGAAGCCTTGGTAGTAATCCCTCTGCCCCGGTCCTCTGCATCTTTTTGCGCAGCTCTTCGAACGACCTTCGAGCCTGCGAATAACAGGGTCGGGGTCTGCGACGGCATGTGGTTTACATCAGGGTCTCTTTGGTTTGAGGGATTCAGACCTCCCCCTGGCACAGCCTTTCACTACAGATCACTCACTCGAAAACTGAAGATCCCTCAGAGCCGGGGACGATTTCGCATCTACTTCCCATGTCGCTGGCATTGCGTGCGATACATCCATCCATGTCGACCTTTGGATGCAACATCCGATGTGCCTTTAACGACTCTGATGCGCTGGAGTCCGCTGGAGTACGGACAGCATTCCGGTCTGCATGCGCCGACTTAAGATGCTGAGAAGTATCGGGGTGGGATGGGGCGGGAAAGAAATTTCTGGGAGAGCATGAGCAGTGAACATAGTTAAGAGCGAGCGACGAGCTCCCTCAATCGTTTGACCTTACGAACCCATACACAGCCCTGTGGTTCTTCGACGCCTCCATGTCGGTCCCCAGGCGCGGTGAAAGTCGGGAGCTGGACCTGACGGGCCCCACTTGAGCACCTTCGGCCTAGCCTTGAAAGAAATTGAGGGGTATGGTAAAACGTCCCCGTTTCTTCTCCTATTTAGAGGTTAAGGGGGGTAATTATGGGTTTGGGTTATGTTGAATTATTCTTTGAGCTGAGACATTTGACATGCCTCGTGCGCCGACCTCTGCTCGGTAAGTCTGTCAGCCAAGCTGCGACAAGGCAGACCAGGGCACCTGAAGCTCACGAAAGGAGCGAACCATGAAAGCCTACATAGACTTCGCTGACTACGGAGCTGAAATATAATTCTAGCTGAAAAAGGTTATTATAGCTGAAATAGATGTATAGTTATAGCTGAAAAAAATTGACTTCCCACAAAGTACCGGCAAGATGCACAGCAGCATGCCATTGCGCGCCCTTCGCCGGCCAACTCCAGCACGAACAAGCACCATGGCCGAGAGTCTATGTGGTGACCGTGCTATCGCCAATAACGACCCAGAACTTGGGATGTTCCCCCTATACTAACGAGTTACTAACAGTCCTTCATGGGGATTATAATGCTGACAGTCCTTAATAGGCATAATAATAGGGGGAGCGGCTTCATTATGCCAGACACATGCCCGGTTCCCTCAAGTTAAACTCTTGGCAGACTCGTCGTAGTGCGAGAGAGCCTCTTGCGCAGTGAGTAGTATAGGGCATAGGCGTGATGGAAAGAGGGCCCAGGGGTGATTTTACTCGTATCAGGGTGAGGGTGACTGCGGTGGGGTTACAGCCGGAGCCGTCAAGATGCGGAAGCGAATGAGTGGGGCCTTTGTGTGACAGTGCTGTGCTTGGCTGGAAGTCTCCTACTGCTCTTTACCAAGGATGTGATGCGGTATCATCTTTTCTGACGTGAGTCAGGCCTGCGCTGGCGCGCAATACTTCTTTGTGGCTTCTCCTGCAGCTACTGCATCGGTAGCGTCCACAAGTCAGCTCGGTCGTGAAGCTCCGGCCCAAGTCCAGGAACAGCCAGGCACCGTTCTTCGGGAACAGCTGGTCACCAGGGAACGCGCACGGACAGGCACTTGGCGCACCGATGCTTATCATTGGAGTCCATCGAATCCTCGGCTATGCAATAGATAGATGGCAAGCACCATCTGCAAATTCTCACGCCCGCATTGGTCCCCCGAAGACTCATTTCTGCAGAACAAAATTGCCAACGTAGGCTTCTCCAACTTCATCTACGCTCACTGCTCTGCAGAGGTGCGACGGTCTGGTTGATACGGGCTCTGTGCCAGCGACGGCGTGGTACCAAACCACTTCTGCGCAACCTTGATGCCTAAACCCTGAACCCTAAACCCTAAACCCTCAACCCTAAACCCTAAACCCTCAACCCTAAACCCTAAACCCCATGATCAAGCGCCGGGCGCGAAACAAAAGCCCTCCATGCCAAGGCTGGGACCATCTTTCCCTCTGGCCTCAGACGTGAACACTACTCACAGCCAATGCCCATTTCGGACCTCGGACCTCAGAATCATGAATTAGCATTCAATCGGCATTAGTTCGTAGGTCAGACTAGTGCCTGCTGCACCTCTTCTTCCAGCATTCTCCAGCTGTTGTAGCTGAGACAGATGCCCGGCAGGACACGATCCATGCCTGCACAGTGAGGAACGCCACTTGCTGGCCACTGACCCTAGAGGCATGCATGCAGCCCCTTCGTGGGATGGGTCGGTGACCAGCTGAAAACTTCCAAAAGGCCTCGATGTTGGGTCCTCCATGCCAGAAGCAGTCGATGACCTTGGCACACCACGAACTACAGCGACTTCAGCGAGTGGTTTGGAGTGAAAGGGGAGAAGCACAGAGCAACATCTCCTGTACTTCCAAGACACCGGAACAGCAGGGCTCGCCCTTTGCTCGGTGGCACCTCAATGGGTTGAGCACAGCCAGCTCCACAGACAAGGGCTGGCTGAAGCAAAGATGTCAACGATAGAAAGATAGTTAGGAAGCTAACGCTTGCTCTTCTGATTCTTCTCGGCGTGTAGGACGGTAGTAAGAGCAGCGCCGCCAGAGGCGGTCCCAAAGCCACGCCATCACCACGCTGCGAAGCTGCCTGGACCACAGCGGAAACCAACGAAATAATCAGCGCTGTGACGCCAGAGCAAACATCATGGAATTCGGTAACTCCAGACAAAGCTGGCGTTGTGGCTCTTTAAGCTTCGCCCACGACATGTTGGAGAGCTGCCCGATCTGTTTTCCATCACTCGCTGTCGTCCAGTTCAATGTGGGCCTGGGCGCGTGCTGAAAGCAGCTTTCCTTCAGAGTGCAGCTGAAGAAAGCCACGATGGCCGAGCGGCACTTGCTGCACCGCCAAGTGATGCGAAGGCAGCCGAAGCTCTGCCCTATCAGTCTGGGTATTGAATGAGTCGCTGGCTAGCATGATGTCGTGGCGGCCCGCTCCCTATCCGCATCTTGCATTTGAGGGGCCTGTCGAGCGCGTCCTCGCCCACGGCCACGGCCCCGGGCACGGGGTGCTGCTGCCTGAAGGCGCAGTTCAGGGTAGTAGTCAGAAAGACATTCTGAAGTCGGGCTGGCTGCACCTCCTCCGCGTCCGCGGCTCGCCTTCGCCTGCGTCGTTGGGGGCCTGAGTCGGGAAATGAAAATTCTAGTTGCTGGATCTTCCTCCTCGCAAGCAAGCCAGCCATAACAAAACGCGCCACTATGCATATACTCAAGCGAAAATACCCGAAGCCATGCCGTTCATCCATGAATGATATTCCATCACCCTCCGCGCCTTCGGCCTCCACCTCAGCGGCATTCGCAGCCTCTGCAGCCTCCGCGTTGTCGGGCTCGGGCGACTCACCACGGAGCCCACGCAATGCCTTCCAATGTCTACATGGTCATCTGAAAGAAAGACTCGGAGGCGGGGGCGCAGAGAGGAGGAATTCGGCCGCCTACCACAAAGCCGGGACACCCTTTGCATCCGGCTTGATCGGACCACCGCCACTTGCCCGGCATCGCCTGGTACCATGTACTCCTCGGCTACAGGCAGATCACATTAATAACTGAAAAAAAAGAGCTGCTGACGTAAAGCAAAGAAGCCGTGATCCGCGGCTGGCGGAGGCTATCCTGGTGAGCAAGTGTCTCAATCCTAGACAAGCAGCTCCTCAGACATCATACCCAACCAGCCCTGTTTGCAGAGTTGAGAGGTGGCGGCTGCTGATGGCTGCTGCTCGTACTGCAGCTGCCACTGCCCGTCCCCCTCTCCTACCCTTTCCTGTATTGTTTCCGTTGTCAGTGATGCGACTTGATGCGTGAGTCCAGCCTCGTACCGTCGCACAGCTGGCTCGAGGCGCTCCAAGATCTTCTCCTTCACACAGGCAGAGTGGCCACGACTTGAAAGCCTTCGGCCCAAAAGGGAATAACGAACAGTCACTTCCATTCCGACCTGGCCTCTGAAAGATCGCAGGCCTTCTGCAGCAGAACCTTGCAATGCGAAGTGGCCACACGGGCGAATGTTCCTCGTGATGCCGAGCAAAACACCAGGCCCGCACGGAACATCACATCAAGAATCCACCATCGACGAGGCATTCTTGCAAAGGCATCTCCATTCCAAGCTGCTGTATTGCACCCACCCTCGCAGGAGCTATGTGCCCCTTACCCGGGCCTTACAATTCGAATGCTGCTGAGAGTCGTGGAAGATGGATCAGGGCAGGGGGAGCGGGTGTGGCCGTAGACTGCACATACCAACCACTTCACCATGTCAACTTGCGACCCTTTTGACCGCCTGAAACCAACAGGATGAACAACCCACGTGGTGTTGCAGCCCTGAACCCCTCGACTTGCTCTTAAGAGCTCCAGCAAAGGCTGTGAGACCCCGGCTGCAGCGCGTCGAAGATCAACTTGGGCCCAGGTGAAAGGCTCCAAGCTACGGTCAACCTAGCGGCATCATCTGGCTTCGGACGGTTCGACGCTATCAGAACATGACTACCAGCCCATGCCCTTTGGTTCGTCGCTCACCTGCGCTCAAGGCAGGCAAGGATTCACTTCAATATCCTTCGATACTAGTCACATTGGATCGGGTTTGGGGTTTTAGTTGCCGCCCCGCTTTTCCCCTCGGTTTGGGGTTTAGCGTTCAGGCTGCACTCGTGCCTCAGGACGATGGAAGGCGTCGATGACAGCAGCAGAAGGAAAATCATCCGGAAATGACCACTGCCTGGGCACCCGACCAGCAACTCCCTGGGGAGGATATTAGAGTTTCGACAGGGTGTTTAGGGTCTGCAAAGACTGCAAGCCTCAAACGCGAGGAAATCTAATGGGCACTGAGGGAATGCCCTAGAATCATACAGTATGTAGGAACTTCCAGGGGCCTCCAGGCCTCTTCTAGTCATGCACTGAGGGTGGGGAGTGGCGATGCAAAGGCTGTGGCAAGTCTTATTGCCCGCCACCAGGCTGCTTCACGCCCCCACCATCTGCCGCAGAGTGGCGTGCGAAAATTGGTGTGCTTGCGCTTGAACCTCGGCATGCCGTGCATGAAGCGAGTTGAAACCAGAGCTGTCTTGCGAAAGAAGCTGGAATAGACGCCAGGACATTCTTGGATGGTGATGCGACCTGCAGATGGATTCCTTTCCAAAGCTACAGCTAGACCCGGCTGCGTCCGTGGCCCAGCAGGAAATTATATTCTGAACGGCAGGAACCCAAGAAACAGGTGTGCCGTGTGGCAACCTAGCCAAACCATCAGCTCGTGTCATACAAGCAATGCCTGAAATTGTCAGATTATGTCCCGGAAACTTCAAGTCCGACATGTCCAGCTTCAGTGCAACTTCACCAAAACTCACCAAAACTCACCAACACCAAAACGCGAAACCCGAAACCCTAAACGCTAAACCCCCAAACCCTGTTGGCGTTTTCAGCTGCTGGCGCCAGCTGGGCGGCTTTGGCCTACGCTTTCTGCACCGGAGGTCTGTTGCCGGTCGCCCCTCGGATGCCGGTCACGCCGAAGTCCGAAGCCTATGATACTACGATTATGACTACTACTATTAACATGATTATCATTATGATTATGATTATCCTTACTATTGCTACTATTATTATTCCTATTCTTATGACAATTATAAGACTAATAACACAATATTGTCGGGCTGCCATTGCCTGGGCTCAGCTCGGCTCGGCCCTCTGGGGTCCTCGGGTGGCCGAGAGAAAACAGAAGAAGCACTTCCACGTCCGCGTGTGCTGGCAACCTTTTGGGGCAAGGGGTAGAACTTTAGGGTTTAGGGTTTAGGGTTTAGGGTTTAGGGTTTAGGGTTTAGGGTTTAGGGTTTAGGGTTTAGGGTTTAGGGGTGCCTAACCTAGGTGGAAGAAGCAGGAACAAGATCGCCCGAAGCACTTGCCATAAGACCAGGCTAGCTGTCAGTTGTAATTAGAATGGTGAAGTCCGAGGCTGTTGTGCCGGTTATGCTCCAAGCTTCTGCATAGGTTGGCAAGGGCCTCCACCGTTTGAGACAGTGATTGCCAGGAGTCGTATGCGCACACCTCCGCAAGAACTCCAGCGGGATGGAACTTCAAGACGTCAACGGGGGACGGGGAGGCTTTTGCGTGGCGGCGCAGGCATGGGTTTCACAACACTGTATGCTATAACTATGCTGCAGATTATGTCGCTCCTTGGTTGCAAGTGGCTTCCGGAGTTATGCTTCCATGCTTAGTCGACGTCATAGCAACCGCGGCCTCCAGTGCCAGCGCACTTCCGGAGACCCAGCTTGTGGTCCGCATCCCATGCTCCTACAGGGCTACAAGAGGCAGAAGAGTCCCATTCCCCTAGGGGGCTACGAATAGGAGGCATAAGAGTCCACAGACGACAGACTGAGCACAACTCGCCTGCTCTAACACCTCGTTCGAGGAGCTTGCTGCCGCTGTGGATGGTGAGCTGTGCTCTATGTTCACCTTTGCACATCTTCTTTGAATGGTTTTGAGGTTTGAGTTTCTGACCGTGGGAGTTCAGGGGTGAATGGAGACCGCCCGACAATGTGGCTTCTGTGGTCAGATGTGGTCAGCTTTCCGTCTCTGCATTACGCTCTCCTCTTGAACGGCGTGCCAGCTTCTGCCTCAACCTAAAATCTAGAAGTGCCGAAGTGCCCCCAGTGCGGTCAGAGGCTCTACGCTCTTCTTTGTGAAGGTCAGGAACCCCTGTCCACTGTAAGGCAGGAGCAAAAAGTACTCTGCCACAAGTGTCGGATGCAGCGATCTTTAGCTTGACTGGCCTGCGGCCGCACTTCCGCGACTCCGGCAACTCCCCACTCCTGGGCCAGCTCGGCTGGCGCGTGAGCCGTTTTCCAAAACAGGGTCCCTTTTTGGGATCTCTTGTTAAAGGGTGCCGCCTTATAATGGTAAGTCCCGAAAAGACCCCGATTCAGGAACTACCCAGGTAAGTGCTGAACTTTGCACTTCGGCAAGTGGCCAGCCCAGTCCCATCTGGCCCGCTGATGGGAAGCAGCCACAGGGGCCAAAAGTCGCCAAAGACCTGGAGAGCTCCTAGCTCATATTGCTGTGGCTGCTACGATCCTTCTGCAGGATTCGTAATATTGGCAGACATTGGCAGATTGCTATATCTAACTCACTCTTCGTATCTTTGGTAAGACCTCAGCTTTGAGTCAAGCTCGCGTGGGGCCCTTTTTCCAGCTTGCACGGACTGAGTACGAGCTCCGGTGAGAACCGCCAACGGTGAAACCCTGGGGAACTGTCAAAGAACCGAGGGCAGGTACCTGACGAACGATGACAAACCGATGCCAACATTGCACTTACGTACTATGTCTATATGTATATACGTGTATAGTCTGTGCGCGTGCGTCTAGACAGATTTGCTTCAATAGTCGCGGTTCTTTCGTCTTTGTATGCCATGAAAGTCCGATTCATGGACTGGTCTTGACAAAATCTCTGCATCTTATAGCCTTGCATGTGATACCATGCAGCAGCTTTCCTGATTATATGCGGGAACTCACGAGCCAACCATCTTCTCATAATGTAAACGATCTGCGCAGCCCTAGGTGTAGGTGGCCGGGTCGATGGTCGGTGGGATGGGCTGGATCTCGGTGCCGAGCTCCTTCTCGACACGGTACAAGTTGAAGCGGTCCTCGTAAGTCACAAAATTGATGCCCAAGCCAAGGTGACCGAAACGGCCAGAGCGGCCAATGCGGTGAAGGTAAGTCTCCGAGTTCTTTGGAAAGTCGAAATTGATCACCACGTTCACAGACTGGATGTCGATGCCACGCGTGAACAGGTCAGAGGAAACCAGACACCTGCAAGCTCCGTTGCGGAAGTCATGGAAGACTCGGTTTCTGTGGGACTGGTACATCCGCGAGTGGATGAAGAAGCAAGAGTAACCCAACTCTGTGATCTTCTTTGCCAACAGCTCCACTCGGGTCACGGAGTTGCAGAAGATGATGGCCTGGTTGATCTGCAGCTTGGAGAACAGGGTATTGAGGCAGTGAACCTGATCATGAAACCGCACGCCGGCCGACAACACATATGTGAGGTGATCGCTCGCTCATGCTTGTGCATGTGAACTCTTCTAAACGACGGCTGTGTTAGGGTCTAAGACAAAGCCTCCTCTGCTCCGTGGTTATTGATAGCGCATTCCCAAGACTTGCGCATACATGATTTGTGGCGAATGAGGCGTTCCATATCATGTCACAACATCATAAACTCTCAACATGGGAATGTTGAGACCTTGTGATCCCAATTTAGCTTACAGAAAGGAGGTGCCAAGACAATGTTCCAGCTGCCTTCTGGCGCTCCTCCACGAATGCGTAGTACTGCGAGACGCCCTTCAGCGTCAGCTCGTCCATGAGGTTGATCTCATGGGCATCCTGCATGAAACTGTTCTTGAAATCCAAGATTGCGATGGGGAAGGTCGCCGAGTACATAAGAATCTGCCGGTCTTGAGGCAAGAACTTGATGAGGTCTTCAATAATGGGCTTGAACTCTGGGCACAGTAGCTTGTCAGCTTCGTCCATAGCAACGATGGAGCACTGCTTCAAATTGCACACATTCTTGTTCGCAAGGTCCAGGACACGGCCAGGAGTGGCCACGACAATGTGCACCTAGAGAGATGGCAGAATGCTTGGGCAAACTAACCCTAAACCCTAAACCCTAAACCCTAAACCCCAAACCTAAACCCTAAACCCCGCACCCCGGAGACGACTCGGACCCGAACCTCGTTGTAGAGACGCATGATGTCTTCGCGAAGGCTTGTTCCACCTGTAGAGACCATGCATTGAACGTTCATGTGCTTGCCGATCTCCTTCACCACTGAAGATGTCTGCAATGCTAACTCCCGCGTGGGCACAAGAATGAGCCCTTGGATTGCATTCTTCGTGGTGTTGCACTTTTCAAGAATGGGAATGACGAAGGCTCCGGTTTTTCCGGTGCCGTTCTTTGCTCGGGCAAGAATGGACTTGCCTGTCAACGCAACTGGCAAGCTTTCCTCCTGAATCGGGGAGGGCTTCTCGTAACCCATCTCGAAGATGCCCATCAGCAGCTCACGCTTCAAGAAGTAATCTTCAAAGTCGTTGCCTTTTGTGGCAGTCACATCCTCCGTCTTGTAACGCTGGTCCGGAGGAGGGCGGCGAATCTGTGCTTTCCAATCCTCTGAGTCAACGTCGGCCTTGGTCTCAGGCTGCTGCGGAGCAGGACGCTGAAGTGGAAGCGACTCAGTGTTGACCTTGGGCTATGGCTGAAAAGCAAGGAAGCACCGTAAAGCAACAGTAAAGAGCTGGCGCGCGTGATCATCACGATACTGCTTAAACATGTGTCGAAACTCACCGAGCCACGCCAATCTGTGGGTAGGCTCCCATATGGCCTCCCTTGCCCTTACCACCGGACGGGTATCCCATGGCCGCCTTGAAAGCTAGCAACCAACGAATCAAAGCTTGGGAAGCTTCTATGTAAGCTTGAGCAAGCTGGCGAACAATCGTGGGTGGCAGCATGACTAGATGCAGCAAATCCGCCGGCATGAGTAGTACGCCATGTACGGAGCAAGAGGCGGGCGGCCAAGTTCCTGGCACACTGGATGTTGCCGTAGAGGCCCTCGTCGTACCTGGATGTGCGAGGTTGGGTTGAACTCAGAGTCTGGCAAGGCACGACTTGCCAGCCGATGCATTCAACAAAAACCTCGGAAAAAGAGTTTTCATTGCCCACTGAGCCTTGAGAAGCCAGGTAGAACATTGCGAGTCTCCATATACTCCTGAGCATCCATAGCTCACTTGTGCCCCCCGGTGCTTGTACAGCCGGCTTTGTGACAGACTCGCATGCCAAGCACTGAGTTGAGGTTCGATGGTGGTCAGATTGCGGCTGATGAGGAAGGTATGGAACCCAAGGTACCTTAGCTCAACCAAATCCAGCCCAAGGTTGGTTCGCGCGTCTCAGCAAGGTCGTCATGCCATCCCGCACATTTCTCCCTTGCAAGCTTGGCTTTTCGTTAGATTGATTCACAGTCTTGTGATTTGCCTTCGAGTGGCGGCCA